CCATGAAACCTACGTGCTTCTATTGATTGGGGAAAGAGCCATTACCTTTGCGACGGTTGTCTCAATGCGCTCGTGCTTCACCAACTGAGAGACCATAGTCCTGTACAATCGAAGCAACACCCATACACGGAGAAGAAAAATCGAGGAAACTAATTAAAGTTACAAAAAAAAGGGGGGGGGGGAAGAAAAACGAAGGAATTGATGAGAATGAAGAGAGAAACCTGAGCATGGACATACGGTGGCCCGTCGGCCGACCGAGCTTCCTGAGCTTCGTCATTTCTGCGTCGGAGAAGCGATCGGAGAGAGAGAGAAACCCTAGTGGAGAAATGGTTAACCATCTTTCACTGCGTAATGTATGGGGCCGAACTACGTTGGGCCTGTATTTTTGGATTCGTCAAGCCCATTAAGGCCCAATAGGTTTTCTTTAAAGATCCATTGAAATAAACATCAGCTCAGAACCTTTGGGCATGCCCATGTTCTGGTCCATTTAACTTTGTCCTCTTTTAATTACGCGAAATGTATGAGATTTAGATGATAATTAGCTGCTATAAAATTATAGTTTATAATTATTAGTAGTTAAAACCCATATTTATAACTTCGCTCAAAATCGCATTGAGATATGTAATATATTATTGATAATTCTATCGTCTTATATTTACTAGGGTAGACCCGCGCGATGCGCGGTTTATTATTTTTTGTATAAAATTTGATGATATAAATATTAAGAAATAATATAAATTATTTTTTAATACAAAAAATAATCGTTAATATTAGAATATTATGAAAGCATTATTATTTATCATATTAAAGCATTTTTAAAATTATCATTATTTATTGTGTAAAAGAATATATATATATTTGCTATATGCGCTCGGCTAATGTTTTGCTAGATGTGGAGACTTATATAATCTTTATTTGTCTCTCCCAATATATCCACATATATAAAAATTTTTAAAAAAAATCGAATGAATATTTACATGCAGTGGCTGATATAGATTAAGATATTATTGGGAGCATAATTATTTTTATTATAAACATCTTTAATTTTATGTGGACATTTTTATAATTTTTATTATAATTTTATATAATTTATATAGAAATATTTTTTTCTTATAGATTGAATGGAGCAAGTGTCCCCGTATACTTCAACGTAGATCTGCTACTATTTACTATTTAGATATACATATATATATTAATTAAATTATTTCTCATTCGGGTATTCTATATTTTATTTGACCTATTAATACCTTACCATTTGGAGATCAACAACAACTTTTTCCTCCTGCATATCTTTGTTGCTTCGAATTCGACCAATAACGTCTTCATTTAGAACATAGAATACTAAAATTTTAGTATCATTGAATATAAGTGGGTAAAATATTAAATATAAATATCGAGAATAATATTGAGGGTGAAAACATGAGTAACAAAATGTATTGTTTCACCTGGAAACTCGACATTTTTGTTAGCCAAAGCAATTAACTCACTATAATCTCAAAACCTAAAAAACTATTTAGACATCTAGATAGATGTGTCGCAAGCATCTAAAATATGTGTTCGTTCTGTAAATCGTAATTACAAATTGAAATCGGTTAGTCTAAATTGTTGATTAGCCCTGACCACCTCAAAATCGATAATTATATAAATCACTACAAAAACTATGATTTTTCAACAGATTTTTCCAACGGATGTGTTCGTTGGATTAATTTCAATGGATTTCTAACGGATATCCGTTTGTATATTTCCAATGGATTTCCAACGTAATTCCAGCGGACCTTCAACGGATATTGTCGCTAGAAATCTGTTGGAATTTTTAACATCATATCAACGGATACGTAACGTTGGAAATTTTCTACGTAGTTTCCGATGGACATCCATTGGAATTTACGGGCAAAAATTCCAACGGATATTCGTTACATATTTGTTTATTTTCCAAGGGATAACCGTTGGAGTTTTGAATTAAAATCTTCCAACGGATAACAGTTTGAAAAATTCGAACGTTTGATAACAGTTGGATTATTCCAAGGGAGATCCATTCAAAAAGATAACGGTCGAAGAATTCCAACGGATATTCGTTGGAATGGGTAATGGTCGAATGTTTCCAACGGACTTCTAACGGATGTCAGTTGGAAATTTATTCTACTTAAGCCCTTCGGTCATTATTCTCCCGAACCACTCTCTAAATCATTCTTCTACTATCTTTAGACCGGAAATTCTCCAAAAAATATCTTTTTCAACAAATCCGAATATTCGTTCATCTCCACAATAGATATATGATAGAGTTGAACCGATTACAAAAGAGTTAATGTGGTCTTCATGGAGATCATCTTTGTAGCAACCAATGCGTTGCCTATTTATAGAGCCATCATCGAACCATTGATTCCTGTTGGACTCTTCTAAAAGATCGGTCCATATATAGTTTTGAAAGAAATGTTTTCTTTAACATTTTGAGTTGAAAATAATGATCATGAAAGATACTTATGATGCATTTGCTTGAACTGGAGCCCGACGCTGACGTTGTTCAGCGTTATACGGTTAGTTGTCGGAGCAAGTTCGATAATGACGATGATAAAAATGCTTTGCGCGAGAACTCGTCCCCTATTTTCCTCCACATTTCCCCTTATTTTCTCGGCAATCAAACACTCCCCATCCCTTCTCCGCCTCCCTTGCCAGCGCTCCATCTCTCCCATCGCCGCCATGTCTTCTTCTTTGCAACAATAATCCGCTTGCATATTGTGAAATTTTTTCATTTTTCAAATCCTGACTGAGGAGAGATAATGCGAGTGGGGAATATCTATCCATGCGTGATCTCCCAATCTGCTTGCATATTGTGATGGGTCCATCCCGGATTTCCAAGTCCGATGTGCGACCATCAAGTCTTCCTCTCTCTCCGAAGCAACAACAATGGTGTTCGCTACTTCTTCTCTTTGAGTATCATCATTGTTCTTTGACTTCGGAACTCAAATCCATTCCTCAAACCAAAGATTGAGAATTCTCAGTGGCCGATCCATACAAGTGTGATTCGCGTAGTAGGAGAAAATTGAGAATTGTCGTCATCAATTCGGTCTCGGCGTCGAACCCGGAGCTCCGTAGAGGACCCGGCGATCTCATTTTTTCCATCCTCTCTAAGGTTTGTATGTTGTCAAACGATCTCGTTGCCAGATATATTCTATCTTTAACACACAATTATAGCAATCTCACTCCCTGAAAATTATAGCAAAAAAATTGATCAAAGTTCCAATGCGAAACAACTTCCATAACACAAATAATAACTGAAAATTCAACTAATAATCGAATAACCTTGATAAAAGTTGTTTTTCTCAGCGTAAATACAAACCATTAAAAAAAACAAAACCTAATTGCATATAAATGTACTTTCTCAAATGATCGGGACCTTTTTTGTTGTACAACCATTCTTGGATTCTCCTTACAATGGGGTATGATTTTTCTTATAAGTAAAAAGATCAAAATAAATTTTTTTTTACAATGGGGTGTGATTTTCCTTGCAATGGGGTATGAATATAACGTTTTAAGTCATGAACGGTGTTTTTATTTCATTTTTAAAAATATATATATAATTTAGTTACTTTCTATGACAATTTATCAAATTCACATTATTTGTTATATAGTATAAAATTGTATTTATTTGTTATATGGATTATTTGTTATTTTTTAAATGAAACATTTATTTTTATAGTTTATTTTGTCTCTTATTTATTTGTAACAATTTAGAGGTTTTTTTAAAATGTAATATTTAGGGATTAGATATAATGTAAATATAATTTTTTAAAATATAATATAAATAGAAATAAAAATATAAAATCAAAACTATTCATCCATAAGGTATAATATTTAAATTTGACTTTTTTTCTCTAATAGAAGTTCATATAGCAAACACCAATTTTGATTTAATGTACCAAAATATTTTAATTAATTGAATATTATTAAATTTTACTATTTACTGTTTTATGTGTGCATAAATTATATCAAACTTTGTTTACATGGAACTAAATTATACCAAATATATTAAAACATGCATACATATATGTATATATGGTATTTGAATATCTTAAATATTTGTTAAAATATTTTATATTATTTTGTATTTATAATCATTTTATTGTTGTAATTTTTAAAAATTATAACAATAATCTTCAAAACCAAGTAAATATTATTTGTGCAATCAGATCGATATTGTATCTCTCATTTGAAATATGTAATCAATATATCTACATATATATATATATATATATATATTCTTTTTCATTTGACAACTTTAATTTCTTTTTTATGATTAAAAAAAAGGAGGCATATGGAGGAAAAAGGGACACAGTTTAATAATATATATACACACATACATACATAAATAAAAAACCAAATATAAAATATAAATATAAAGTATTAAAAATACACACATATACATATATATATATATATATATAAATATATGTTTACATATTTTTTATTAAACGTGTCACTTGTTTTTTTAAACCTATTTTTCATGAGCAAAAAATAGTGATAGTTTAATAATATATATATACATATATCCATATATACACATAAATTAAAAATCAAATATAAAATATGAATGATTTAAAAATATATACATACAATCATACACACACAGAGAGAGACACACATATATACATATATACATATATCTGTAAAATGCTTGAGTCAACTCTAGAAAAAAGGACAAAACTGTTTTGAGTAAACGTTTAGATTTGCAAACACGGATTAACTGGCTCAATATGTATAGAAAATGAGAGGTAAAGATAATTGATATTTTAAAATAGATCAATGAAGTTCAATCACCCTTTCTCTTAATTGGATGTGAAGACATGCATACCATTTCATTCCTTCTATTGGACCACATAGCATCACCACCTGCAAAAACACAAACGCATTTTAAACCGGAATAAACCCAGAGATTGAAAGGGGGAAAAATTATATAATGAATGACAATCACAATGAAGTTATGGGTCCATACGTGGAACCTATATAAGCTCGTTTAAGAACCAATAACGCATGATAACATAATAAAACTAATTAGAAAAAATAAATGTGATTATTAGTGGCCTATTAAATATTACGTTCTACAGTCTAATATTTAATCTTTTGCTTACTAAATACAATGAAGTTGAGGCGTAACCGTTTTTGTTTTATTGTGATTGTTAGTGGCTAATAAATACCAAGAAACGTTTTTGTTTCAAAGTGTTTTGTTGATAGTTTTATTTTTAATTTTATATCATATAGCAATACGTTGCAAATTAGATGTAGTCCAATCGTTATACATAATATAATAAATTATA